CCCGTGCCCCCCCCCCCCCCCCCCATGTCTGTCTGCCAGGGGTACACTGATCCAAAAAGGTTGAAAACCCCTGTTTTACAGCAACAGTTGCTTAGTGAAATGGTACTACTAGTGGGCTTGACTTTATTTTTTTCATTCAAATAGAATCTTCAGAGCGTCAAGTGCAACACAGATAGAAGAGCTTCATTTGCAACTGATATGAGGATAATCTCAGATTTGAGAGCCTCTTTCTCTGCCTTCTGAGTTTATCCTGGCTTAAAAGCAGAACTTTATGTTCTATGGAAACCTACAGTTACAACTGTTGGCAATGAATATGTCTTTAGTATATAGTATTATATCAGTCTGGTCTGGAATCAGTAGAGTGCAATGAAGTGATATTTAAGTTTATACTCAGACTTTCACCATTAAAATCCCAGGATTCTAAGGTATCGCCTTTCTTTATTTAACTAATATTCAGATAAATTAATTGGTACGTTGAATTAGCATCTGAATAAAAGAGATTTCTTTCCATTTATATTTGTTTCTCATTCTGAGTTTGTAAGCTAGTAATTTTGGGCATTTCATAATGATGTCTTCTGCTTTCCCATAGCTTTTATTGTTTGCTGCATGAAATGCAGCTGCTGTATAAAATAAAATTATTTTTTTTTGTGTGTTCCCTGAGGCCACATGGGGTTTTAATTTGGGGAAAATAAATTTGAGTGCAGCAATCAACAAGGCTATGGAATGATTCTTGACAATATAGGCCAAATTCAATGACTGCAAAAGATAAAGACTGCTCCTAGTACTAAAGGCAGTATGTAGGGTTATGGTTACAATATTCAGAAGCCTGATCTTATAAGAATAATCCTAGTTTTTCCTTTTCTTTTGCGATGTATTGGATCTTGACCTACCAGATTTGATTGCAGTGACTTTATATTTTTGCACAATAGTTGATATATCAAAAGTGCAGGAGTGTGTTTTGAATGAGCAGTAAGCTAAAGGCTTGCATGTAGAGCTTTGGCAGAGAGAGCTTCAGATGCCGTTAAACAATGTCCAGGTAGCTTTTATTCATCGTTAGCCTGGGTCACAGTCAAGCTCAGTAAAATGTTTAAAGATGAAACATTCTGCCCTCTCCCCCTCACACACCCAGGCCAAAGATTCTTCTTACCAGTAATATTGTGCTCTTACAGCTTTTTCTGGTTTGGGCCAAAATACATTTATTGTTATAGAATCGTAGAAAATTAGGGTTTGACAAAATCTCAGGAGGTCATCTAGTCCAACCCCCTGCTCAAAGCAGAACCATCCCTAACTAGATCATCCCAGGCTTCTAACTTTTGCAGAAGTCTTGATAGGTTGTACTTACCATTGCTTAACAGAAGCTGCAAATGAGCTTTTATTAGCAGTGACCAAAAGAAGTACATTTTGGTCTGACTTGTTGAAACATGTCTTAGAGGTTTTAGGTGAGATTTCAGCATGATGTTTTTCTGATGTCCAATTTAGAAATATATAGATTTTAATGAGTGAAAATCCTGTTTTGGATATGTTAGATGATATGCTTACTCACAAGGAGTTGATTTAGGTTCCGGCCATTTCATGCAATTAATCCCATATTAAACTGTTGAACCTCTGTCTCCACTTGCATGAGGTTTCCCTATTAGTTTGTGAAAGTGTTCTGGTTTAGAATGACCCATTGCTGCTCTGAAGCTTGTGTAAACTGTTGACTCAAATTTAATATAAGAGGTTACATTAAAATTCTTTGAAAGAGAGATTTTGGTTTATTGTTAGGTCAGGAGAAGTTGTAGTTCTTTTCACTGCAACAATCTGAATGATATAAACATGCACCAAAATTGTTCTCTTCTGGATCAACTATATATTTTTAAAATTCACTTAAGCCTCTTGCTACCATCAAGACCCTAAAGACAATGGTCTGTCTGTAGCTGTTTCAAAATCCAGATTGCTAGTTGGATTAACATAATTTCCTGTGACTGAAGAATAGTACAATTTAAAAAATAGCACAAGAAGGGACCATGACTGCCAAGTCTGCTTACTCCATTAGTTATTAGAATGTTATCTGGTTTCAGTACTTGCATTATTAGTGGCTTTTTGTGATTTCTTGATATTCTTATGCCATTTTCTAATTTAATTTGCCGACAAGAACTTTCTTTACATATTGGTTCTTGATACTGCTGTTAACAAGGATGTTATCTCTGGAGACGCACATCCAGTTTGAGACCTGAAACTAAGCATCACAGAGATGCTTAATGGGATCTTCTAGACTGAGCACTGAGTCCCATTGGGTACAGTGGTTTTCTTTAATCTTTACTAATCTGTAGAGGAGCCTCTGGGAACCCCATAAGATTGGGCCCTTAATATAGTCCATGACCTGTTGAGACCTATTTATAAAACTTTTCTAAAAAAGTTGCATGAATATATTGTCTCAAATAGTGTATAATTAAAAGCTTTAATCCCTATTCCATGATGATATTTTTGAGCTCTAATGTATCTTAAATTAAAACTAACTTTATATACTTAAAAAAAAGCATCTTAAAAATTAAAAAATGCGATTAAATACAAAAATCTGAGTTTTTTATTAAACATTTATTTTTATTCACCCTGATTCTGACTTCAGTGGAATTATATCAGTTTTCACTAACTAAAGGTCTAGCCCTGATCTTAAATTCATATTTACTGTAAGTTTCTTGAAGCAGTAAGGTCAAAGCGTATGCTAATTATTTTTTTAAAATTATAAACTGCCTGTCTCTTGTTCTGAAACAGTTTGACTACTAATGACCATGAAATTTATGAAAGTCCTTGTTGTATTTGCACATTTCTGATGTCAGCTAGTCAGAATGTATAGTATGTTAACTTAAATCAGGATTTCTAGTTCTATTAATAGACTTTCCAGGCTGCTGAAGAATGAAACCAGCAAGATTCCCATCAGTTTCACTGTTGTGATTCACAGGCTTTTTAGAAATTGTCAAATTGTCTGACTATAAATAAACTGTAGTGGGGTTACATATCCTTGGAAAAACTGAGCTGAAGTTGTTTGCAGGGAAGTAGAGTGAGGAAAGGGGAGAAATCTGTGCTGTAGCCAGCGAGGATATCCATTTCTTTGCTTTCTTTAAGCTGGTGATCCTTTGGGCAGTTTAAATATATAAAAATCTTAATATTCAGAGCATATTCAAGTAAGTTCTTAAGTAGGTTCCAGGATAACATTTTCTTGCTTCCTAACAGCTGAACATAATGGAAGGAAAAGGGCTTTTTAGTAAAAAAAAAAATTAAAAAAAAAATAATAAAAAAATAAAAATATTTTTCTCTTACAATATTGATACAGATCCCACCATCATATCTGTTTCCAGTAGTTGTCTGGAAAGCTCTTCAAATTCATATTATTAATTCAGCTCTTGGATGTTTGAGAAATGGGATAGCCAGGCAGAATTTGCTTCCAGGTCCTCTTTCTCCTTTCCAGCTTCTCCCTTGTGCTTTGTCTCACTGTAAAAGCCTGGATGCAGAGGAGGAGACAGGGAGACAGGGTTCCTTGTGTGGTTAAACAGGAGCAACTGTAACCATTTATTTTTTTCCTTGGAAGTAGGTTTAGGAGATGATGCTTGTATGGGCTGAAATAAGGGAAGCTACCAAGTCAAGCAAGTAATCACTGTTGTGAGTAGGGGCAAAAAGATGCTTGTTCAGAGGTAGTGGTATTGCACAATGTATTATTGTAAGCTTGCCTTTGTTGAGGTTGAGTTAAAATATTGTGTGAAAGTTGACATGGGTATTTCTCTTGCAGACTTGCAAATTTAGCTCTTAGGATTTAGAAACAGATATGTAGATATTGCCCCAGTTCTTGACTACTTTGTGGTATGAATGGCTTTATGCATGAACAAACAAAAAGAAAACTCAAAATTGTACTACAGGGGTGTCAAAGATATGGCACATGGGCCAGATCTAGCCTGTGTAACCCTATCATCTGGCTCGCAGTGCTGCCTGTGGCTCTTAGACCAGACTCATATACTGAATTCAGTAAGTGTTGGCCTGCCTAAGCTGGTCTAGTGCCTATGGGGCTGGTCTGGATTGGGCCCATACACTGGCCCCATGCACTGCATACAGCCCCATAGAGCTGCACATAGCATGAGGCCAGTTCAGGCATGTAGTGTCCACCCCGACTGACTCTGCTTTGGCTCTAGCATAAAGGATCAGCTTGTGGGCTTGATTTGTCCCCCAGACTGATCCTGAACTTATCTGGCCTGCAGGTCTGAATGAGGCTGGTCTCACTGTCCTAGAAGAAGTGAAGTCCAGTACTGAGAGATACTTTGTGGCTGCATTTTGAAAGTAGGAACAGCCTCATCCAAATGTGTGCTCTTGCATATGTTGGACTTGAAAGACTAAAAGTCAGCCTCTCATATTTTTTCATGAAACAGTTGACAGCTGTTGTATTTCAAGCAATGCTTAGATGTCAATGAAGGGCCAAACCCTTAAGTTATTAATTTTGGAGCTGTTTGAAAAATGTGTGTGTTCTTAGATTTCTAAGTGATGATCTGCTGGTTGGTATCCTTAGTGCTTTGATCAACTTCCAAAAAAAATGGAACAAATTAACTGTAAATATATGGATATAGTGACAAAAAGTAGGAGGAGACA